CGGCCCCGGCGCGCAGTTGCTGCCGCGCTGGCTTCGGAGCGCCACCCGGGAGCATGCGCCGAACAATCCGACGGCCCACGCCAAGGCCTACGCCCCGCACCGGGACGCGCGCGACCCCGACGACGACCCGCCGCCGTCGTACACGTGGAGCGAGAGTCGTCCGCGCCTCGGGCCCCGCCGCGCCTGGGGAGCACCCCTCGGGGTCCCCGTCCCCGCCGCCCCCGGGTGGCCGGCGCCGCTGCCCCCTGCCGCCCCCTGGACTATGAGCCCGCCCCAACGCAGGGCGTCGCAGGACTACGACCACGCCGGGGCCGCCGCGGGCGCTGTCCCCAGCCAGGACCCCGCCGTCGCCGCCGACGTACCGGTCCCGGAGACTAGCGTGGACGCGGAGCACCCCGGTCAGGACCCGGGCCAACAGGGGCCATCCCTCGACAGTGCACACGATGACACCCCTCCCGACGCCGCGCCGAGGAAGCGCCAGGGCGGCGTCGACCTCCCGGGGCCGCATGGACCGTCTGGATCTCCAGGAAGAGCCCCCGGCAGGACACCGGGCAGGGAGAACTGGAGGCTGAGGGATGACCCCACCATTGGACACGTCTGGCCCAGCGATTGGGGAAGTGAGTAGTCGTCTGTGGTGTTATGTGGTGTGTGTGTTTGTGTGTGTGTATTTAAATGTTCGTTTGTGCGCGCGCGCTGCCTACTTGAGCTTGCGCTGCATTGTAGGCTGTGTCCCATCTACACTCTGCCAAGTTAGTGTTTACGAGAGGTGAAACTCATTTGTTGGTCAACGTCGTTTTTGACCGAAGAAAGAAAATGACGGAGAGGCGTACGGCTCCTGCACTAAGCCGAAAGATACGGTGACACGAGTACGGTGATAAGCTTGACAATTTTCAGCCCCGTCTCCGTTTCTTTCTTTTTATTTTTTCACTATATGTTGAACCCGGTGGGCCACGGGGCTCTGCGACTGCGAGTGAAACAGCCTAACGGCCCCTCGATCTCCTCGCCCCGCACCCCGCTGCCCCTCCCCCTGCTCCTCTACGCACGCGTAGCGTACTCCCTGGCGTCGCGTCGCGGCGCCCTGCCCGCCCCCACGGTCCAAGGGATCCAGGCCGAGTCCCCCTGCTCCTGCTGCTGGTGTCCCCTAGGCCGGGGGAAGGGAGAGAGGGGGAGACCACCGAGCGTGTTGGCGCCGCTGACAAAAAGACTCGCGTTTTAATTACTCTGCGGACGCTCGCTCCGGCCCCTTCGACCACCCGACCCCTTCAGCGTCGCCACTCTCCCTGACCCTCCACGCCCCGCCCCGCCCCCGCCCTCCTCGTCCGCTCTTTCAGGAGCTCTCGGCTGTCGTCTGCCCCTTTGTGCGTTTGTATTATGGCTTGGCTTCATTCAGCGGGCTCAGGACGCGTGTCCCTCTCTGCTTGTCTGTGTGCGTGCGTGTGTTTGTATGGAGTGATACGGCTTGTTCGGCCGCCTGGTTAAACGCCGCCGGTCCCGCGGAGGGGAGGAGGGCATATGTCGCTCCCGTCCCCGCCACCACTGCCGCCGTGGCCCCCTGCGGATTGCGCCGCCGTCGGCCTTTCTGTGTCGACGCAGTGCCCCACAACACCGCCATTGTCGTCGGCGACATGCACAATGCGCGCGCATATGTGTGTATATAACGTCGGGAATCACTTTCCCCGCCGGACTTCCCCCCGGGCTCCCCCGCCGGCTGGCCCTGGCCCCTCCCATCCCGATGCGATGGTCCGACACCGCGAGCAAGAGCACACGCATCCTCCAACCCGCCCCGCCACTCGCGGTATTGTTGTATTAGTTCCGGCAAGATCTGCCGCGCATGTATGCATTACACACACGCGGTGGTGGGGCGGCGTGGGGCGGCCCACTCTGCCGGGGGCGGCTTCTTTTGCGCAACCTGCACTTTATTTGCCCCGTGAAGCGGCTCGGCGGGCTAGGCTGGACGGTGTAGCCCCCCCCCC